ACAACCGCCACTCACCCGCACCCACCCTACCCCAACCCACCACTAAACACCATGCCACAATTGTTGTCGTCATACCCACTCACTCCTAGGCCCCAAATACCCGACCACTACCCCACCACTATCATTGTCACAGCTACCACCACGCAACCTACCCTACCCACCGTCCCGCCCCGCCCCACCCTTGCCCTACTCCAACCCACCACTACCCACCATCCTATCACTGTAGTCGTTACAACTACCACCCTACCCCACTCTAGCCCTACCCCCTCACCCTACCCTGACTGCTCCCAACAACCTCCCACCTATGGAGCAGGGCGGGATTGGGGTGGTCGGACAGGGTATGGGTAGGGGTGGGGCGGGGTTATAATCATGACGATGACAATAGTGACATGGTGGTTGGTAGGGTGTGAGCAGGGTGATGGGTGCGATAGTCCAAACAAAGACGATTGTTCCAATTCTTTTGAGAGATTTCGTTCCAATTCCTACCAACCAAACGCGTGGTCAAATTTCATCAAATTCCCTCAAAGTCAAATTCCTTTGATGGATTCCAATTCCATCAAATTCCATTAGTGAACCAAACACTGCCTAAATGTTTTACATATGCTCTTCAGATAGCTCCATTGAACTGCGATAGCTGCTAGTCTACCTATTCATATTTATCGTATAAAAAACAACGATTGAATAACAAAATAGCTTACTTTCAAGAGAAAAGCTTCTCTCCAACTATGGCTAATCTAATTATAGAGTAGTAACAATCAAATAAGCATGAGAACCATCATATACTAATCGCCTATATATAAAGCTAATTCATTATGGAAATTCTAGCATTACCTATACATAGGAATATATCTCCTTACCATATACGGAATAGGTCAATTTCATATTATGTAGGGAATATTATTTCCTAATTTTAGATCCTAATATTTTTAAAGCAGCATAGGCCCATGCACGCCTCTTAATAGGGATGGTGATTTGGCCCGACCCGGTGGGGAACCCGGTTCACCCGACCCGGACGGGGACGGGGAATCCCCGCTAAAACGGGTACCGGGGCCGAGGATCCCCGGTAGAGGCAAACCGGGGCCGGGGCCAGGGCCGGGGCCGGGTATTGTATCCCCCGACCCGCCCCGTACCCGGTATATTAATAAATAATAAAATAGTTATTTGGGCTTTAGGAGTTAGGACTGTTAGTTAGTCTGTTACTACTTATTTGTGTTTGGGCCTTTTGGATTTGGGCTTTGGGAATTGGCCATTGGGAGACAGAGTGATAGACGCAACACTCAACAGCAAGTCAGCAACAGCAACTAGCCCTTGTGAGTTGTGACCTTGTCCCTTGACCCTTGTAAGCGACAGAGTACAGACGCCCATCGCCTTCGTTGTTCCTTCCCCGGTTCGGCGGTTCCCACTTGTCCCTTGACCCTTGTAAGCGACGGCCGGTAGAGTGAGCTGTGAGCAGCAGCAGTCGACCCACCCTCAGCTTCTTCCTTCTTGACTTGAACCTTGTAAGCGACAGGCCGACAGCGGCTCGTAACTCGTTCTTCATCAATCGCGCGGGATTAGCCGTGAGCAGCAGCAGCAGAGAGCAGACCAGCGTAATCGTTCTTCAAACTTCATCAATTCGGTTCTTCATTAATCAGGTCAGTAGGTTTTTTGTTTTAGATTTAGGCTTATATAATTAGGTCATAATTTTGTTTCCATTCATAACAAGTTAACAACTTGTATAGCTTTATTTCTATGATTACATTGTTAAATAGCTACTTTACGGTTGTTACTTTACTTTATTTATTTGTTAAACAGCTGCTGTTTGTTTTCATTCATAACAAAAAGATGAAATATGCAATTTTCACAGCTACTGTTTGTTTTCATTCATAACAAAAAAGATGAAATATGAATTTTTCACAGCTACTGTTTGTTTCCATTCATATGTTTAAGTTTATATTGCTAAGATGTATTACAGCTACTGTTTGTTTCCACTGTTTTGTTTCTTTGTATTACAACTGCTGTTTATTGTTAAATGTATATTGAGATAAGATTGGAGCTTTTATTTAAAGTTTTAATTTGAATGTATCTCGTTGTCATTGTGCCTAATTGAGTAATTTCTGATTCTTTTTCTAAGATGGAAAATTCACAAAACAAAAACACAGAAGATATTGGATGTAATACGACTTGTAATGACACAAACGAATCTGTAAGCATGCCTATGGGGTCAAATATTAGTCCTGAGACTGAAGTCAGTGAACCGGCAAACAAAAGATTGAGTAATTTCTGATTCTTTTTGTGCTATTTTTATAATTCAATGTTAATATTCATTTTAATATATTATTTGAATCTTTGATGCAGCTTTTTACATGTGCCATCTCCACACACTGCTGATGTATTGTCTCACGTTATGATCGAGTGCTTTATGGATTGGAACATTGATAACAAGTTGTCAACATTGACACTTGACAATTGTTCAGCAAATGATGCTTTGGTTGACAGGCTCTTAGGTACTCTTTCTCCTTCCTCCTTAATTTTGAAGGGTAAGTTGTTTCACATGAGATGTTGTGCACATATCATTAATCTCATTGTGCAAGATGGGTTTTCTATGATTGAGAAAGCAATCAAGAATGTTAGGGATAGTGTCTCATTTTGGACRTGTTCTCCTAAAAGAGCCCAAGACTTTAGACTCGTTGCACGACAACTAGGTGTAGATTGTRAAAGAGAATTAGTGCTTGATTGYAAGACTAGGTGGAATTCTGTTTATACAATGTTGAATGTGGCTTTAGAAAGATGTCTTTACTCGTTTAAGCAAGAAAGAGAAACATTATGTTTCTTTACCTAGTGAAGAGGACTGGAGAATGGCGACTAATGTATGTGATAAGTTAGGTTTATTTTATCGTGTGACAGAGACATTCTTCGGGACCAAATACCCTACTTCCAACATGTTCTTCCCTTTGATATGTGACATAAAATTATCTATTAAGAGTTGGGAAGACGATGAAAATGACGTTATTAGGAACATGGCATCAAGTATGTTGTTTAAGTTCGATAAATATTGGGGAGTCATACATGATGTGATGAGTGTGGCTATTGTTCTAGATCCTAGATATAAGTTAAAGTTGATAAATTATTTCTTCCCGAAGATTTATGGTGTGGACTCAAAAGATGAGGTTATGAGGATAAGGACTCTATGTAATGATTTATTTGAAGAGTACAAAAAGACACATGATCAGAATAAAAGGAAAGGACAAAGTGGCACTACTCTTTCAAGTGAGGGGAAATCTTCTTCAAACAAGGCCTCATGGCAATTAGATTTTGAGAATATGATCTCTGAGGATTACATGTTTGAAAAGACCGAGTTAGATGATTACTTGTCAGAGAAATTGTTACCGCTGGATGAAGAGTTTGATATATTAATGTGGTGGAAGTGCAACGGTGTCAAGTTTCCTATCATGCAGCGGATTGCAAGGGATGTGTTSDYCATTCCTATTTCAACAGTAGCTTCGGAATCGGCTTTTARCATGAGTGGAAACAAGGTAACGAAACAACGAAGTCGACTAAAATCGCAAACAATTGGGGCTTTGATGTGCAGCCAAAGTTGGCTAAGGAAAGAAATTGAAGATAATAATTATATAAATTGTTTGTTGTAATAGTTATGTAAATTGCAATTGGTATATACAGTTTTTCTGACTTGCATTATTTTATTTCAGATAAAAAACACGGAGAACCAGCTGGATTTGATCAAACGATTGGATACGATGAAGATGTTGATTGTTGAGGGATTGGAGTCTGGAATTATGTGTTGCTTGGAAAACACTTGTTTTAATTTTACATCTCTTTGGATTATTGTTAATTTTACAATTTTATTATTTTTATTAGGCAAGACTAGATATGATGTAATTATGTTGTCATGTTGATGCTGCTTAAAAAAAACTTATTAATTTTAATTTGACTGGGTATTGACTGGGGGTTGACCGAAAGTTGACCGGGGCCGAAAATAAAATCCCCGTACCCGCCGGGTACCGGGGCCGGGGCCGGGGACTGTGTATATAAACCGGGGCCGGGGCCGGGGATTGCAAACCCCGCCCCATCCCCGCCCCGTTGCCATCCCTACCTCTTAACATTACTCCCCTCCCAAAAGTACACCTTGTCCTCAAGGTGAGGATCCAAAATTTTGTCCCAATTTAAACATCAATCATTCCGGGATCCCAGTTTCTCCCTTGCAATACCATTTCAGCATCTAATTGCAATTCTGGTCTTGGATTTTACCCCTTTTTTTTACATTATGACCTCTGATTTACCATTCCAACTTCAATTTCAACTCCTAAATGGCATTCCTGCAATTTTACATTCTCAGGTCCAACACCACTACTTCTCCGTTCAATGTTTTTTCATTCCTTTGTATCAAAAACATTTCAGTTTTGGATCTTGAAGAAAGAATGGGTGAAGGGAAACTGTTGATCAGGCAAAATATACAAGCCATTGAACTTTAATGGTCCTTTTAATTGCATAACTCAACAAGAGCTTTACATATTACATGCGTATACTCTCACATCATTTTTGTCCAAGTTCAACCAGATTGCTTAACATAAATCATTAACAACTATCAAGATAACCAACACCTCTGCGTCAGGTTTTTCATTCCCTTCATGGTCTTATTCCAAATTACCCACTAATGCTCTAATTAATTTAATTAAAATTTGAACAAAAAATGTTGCTGCATACATGACTGAGAGTACAAGCATGTGACTGATGATTTTTTTTTGTTGAGATATACAGCTAAAAAACACCATTTATGACCATTTTGTCTATTTTGCCAATAACAAAAAGTGATTTTGTTTGACTTCTCTTTACTTTATAAATACCCCTTAACAATAATGTGTTAGTAAACGAACGAGTTGTAATCTAACACAATTTACATTCTCACCCTTTTTATGTACAACATTACCATACAGGATCCCTCAAGTTATATATACTACGTCAAAGAAAAATTATGACGCATGATTTTTAAATTTTTTCCCATTGTAAATGGACTCCAATTCTGAAAATATATACACACATATTGTGTTTTTTTACAAGAGATAGTAAGTAATGAAATCCAATTATTTTGTCAATCTAAAATGGATGTATTTGAATTTTTTCAATCTTCTATATATTTACATATATCTTTTCGGTTTATAATGATTGAATTCGGCAAACGTGTGGCTCTCTTTAAAGAGGACATCATGCATGCCCACATGCCATAATTCATTGCTTTATTTATTGAAAATAAGTTCCCACATTTTGTTAGTTCATCATCATGTTTACATTCCCATTCTAGTCTCTTTCCAACTTTAGGATAAGAATGAGATTTTGCCACTTTTCTCATTTTGGCCCTAAATAATCTAGAGAAGAGGAGATAGTCAAATTTCCTTATGGATCTAATAAATACTCACACTTTCAAGTTGAAGACAATCATTTTTTTCCTAAATTTTTGTTCGAGTGTTGTCATAGTATCATTGAAGGCTGATTGACGTGTCAAAAACATCTCCCACTCAATGAGCACAATGTTGTGGGGAAGGGTAAACTATCAACGGTCTATGGGTCAAGGGTACACAGTTAGGAGACTGAACGTAACTAATGGGAAATATGTTTGCAAATTATTTGAGTATCTGAAGATAGAGCTTTATTATACTATACGTACTAAAATCATCTAGAGCCCCATTCCCAACCCCTGTTTATATGGAACAGATATATTCCATTAGTTCTCTACACATACAATTTCCTCCAGATTTGTGATATATGTATTATGCCACATGTTTGATTCTACTTTTGAAAATTGACAACTTAGTTTTGTAGTAGTCTTGTTATAAGTAAAATACCTTGTTCCTTCAATTAAAATGAATATATACAACTGCAGGAGATCCGAGAAATGACTAGATGTGGCCACGGAATCTAATATTTATCTCTAATTCTTCGGTAGACAGCATCACGTTTCTAGCTTTCTATGTTTGAGAGCAACACTACTGAAACCAATCCATATGTTGTTTCTAGTTTTCCACAGCAACAAGAAAAGAGACAAATTGAGATGCAAACAAGAATACCTGAGGCTCTTAGAGGTGGACGATTCCTCATGCGCATGACCCTTTTTAAACCCAAAAAAGATGTCGAAGAAGTAAAGGTTTGGGATAAAAGGGGAAATGTGGTGGAGATTCTCCTGGATGAAGATGAAGAAGTGGAATTAAGGGCTTGACGAAGGGAGAGTTTAAGAGCACAGATGCTGATGGCTGGGGAAGCTATTGATGGTAGGTTATTATAAGCTCTCAACATTCTTCCAGGGAGGGTTGATTTCACAGGTTTGAGTTATGAGGAAGAATGTTACACTGATGGTATTCGCGTTTGTCCCAAAAGTTCTCACCACGATAACACCATCGATTTTGAAATTCCATTGTACATCAGGTTTTATATTTTTAAGATTTTAAAATAAATTAAATTACTATAACCCGTTGTTTACCAGCGCAATGCGGCGGAAGCTGTAAATGTAAACGATTTCGAAGCTTTGGCGGTTTTGTTATTTTAAGGATGATATATTTACACTTGCGAGATATTTATCCAAATTTTTACTCAATAAGCGCTTACCGGTAATTCTTAAGTTCTAGCAACTTAAGATATTACTTCTTTTGATCAAACTCATAAAAATGGTAAGTGCAATGATAAAAAACCACATAGCAGATAATAACAATAAAAAACCATCCATCAAGAAGAGAAATCAAAATAAACATAACTGATCCATGAAAGACCCCCAAATTGTGTACATTGAAACATAGAATATGGAGAGCATGTAAGGCAAGGTAAAACACACATCCCTTCATCGCTCCATCGACTGAAATTGCAAGTCCTTTATCCCCCTCCTTCCAACTCCGTTCTGCCCATCCATGGTGGCTACGTACCGCCCACACCCAAAACAGAAAACCCAATGCACAGAAATAAACAGAGAAAACATCAACTTTGGTTGCTTATTATCAAGAAACCCGACATAGCAGGAAATGTACTTGAAACTATAAACAGAGAAAACATCAACTTTGGTATTTATTATGAAACTATAATTTTTTTTTAAATGTATTTGACCATGACTTTGACTTATAAGCAGTTAAGCACAAGGACCTATAGTTGTACTTCGATTAATAGTAGGAAAGACCAAGTGTGATTTGACTATTGTATTTCATCAATTTGGATATAAAGATAAACAAGATTAAATGGTAGATGCATCACTATATATCAAAGGTCCTACTACTTCCCTCTGCTCAAAGGCTTTAACAATTCCTTTATGTGTATACACAGATCTTGGTGTATTTCTCTTGCTCATTTACCTTGAGTAGATCGTATGTAAAGATAGGGACCATACTCATTTAACTTCCAAGAAATTGTAACTAAATTTAAGCAGTTTTAATCAGATTATTGGACAATTTTTGATGGTTGGATGGCAGTCTTGTGGGCTCTAAGTAATTGTCTACACCACATCTAGTTTCAAAAAAGCAAACAACACATTTCATGGTTTGGAATACCCATTTTATTTGGGGGGGAGTGTGTGGGCGGTCTTTATTAATGTATGGAAGAGTGTAGAGACTAAAATAATATCAATTTCAAGAAGGCAACTACTACTAATCAATAGAAAAATTGATTTCATGAAAGCAACTAATACTATATTACTCAATAGAAAGCAACAAAAAAGTAATCGATAGAAAAATCGATTCCGAGATGGAAAACTAATTACCTCGATTGATCGATTTCGGTAGATGGAGACTGAAGCAAGAAAGCAACCTACAAGCACCTGATATCAAATACAAGATAGTATAGATTAGCTTAATTTACATGTGTTCTTATAGCTTACTTACTTGGAGGCTATCTAGAAGGACAAATTATACCAAAACCTGCAATAAACATGCCTTTGCATCAGCAATAGGAGATACAGTTGCCTCCTTTGGGAAAAAAAACTGATCTATTGACATAGAAACTACTTCCTTCAACATAGAATCCACCAACAAAAGAATGTAAAAATAAATCCCATATCATAAAAAGATCTAGAGGGAATCAAACATAGTAAAAAGATCTAGAGGGAATCAAACATAGTGGAATCAAACATAGTGAAATAAAAAGATCTCAATCAGTTATCTCACCTCCCTCCCCCACCAAGGAAACATTAAAAAAAGAAACTTGCCTTTACCCCACCCCCTCTTCTTTCTTTCTTGCATTCACATTCACATTCACATTCATAGAAATATATGTGTATGTATATATGTATATATATATATATATACCAACCTATCTAACATTTCAATCAACAAAAAGTCTTGAAAGACAAACCAAATTTAGTTGGTCCAGTTCATCAATACATTTTTGAGAAAGAAAAAGCGAAGAGCAAAATGAATATGGAGGATGGTTTGAATCTTACATTGGGATTACCTGGAAGAGGAGATGAAGAATCAACCATTTCATGCTTCAAGAACAACAACAAACGGTCACAGCCTGAAACCAATGATGACTGCGATGAATCCAACCAAGCCAAAGAGGGTGACATGGAAACTTCACCTGCAGCCAAGTAAGTGAATTAATTAATCATACACATGTAGTCGAGTCTTTTAGTTTGGTGATATGTGATTAAATCCAATTGATGATGGCAGATCACAAGTGGTTGGATGGCCGCCAGTGCGTAAATACCGAAGGAACARCAATATAAGTGGTAGCAAATGCAAAATGTAGATTGAATAAAAATCAAAATCTCTCTTTATGTTTGATATGGAATAGCAAAGAGGTATACCATGATTGATATTCATCCTTGAGATTTTCTCTCATTTCTATTATGAAAAATGGATTGTGCTATATACCATCTATAAATGTTAGGATGGCAATCCATCCAGAGTTGTAACTTCACGACAACATAAATCACTAACAGTACATGTTATGCATCTATAGTGAAGAAGATAAAAGTATTACCCAAGTATCCATGTCATAAGGAAGCCGATGGCAAGCCYTTCAGAAGATTTTTCTTTGAAATTTGTGATGATCTGAGRTACCTCTGCGACACCCCAACTGACAACACTAACTATTCCCAATATCAGCGAAATCCAGTCCTTCCTTGAACAAAGACAATACTTCATATAAACAAAAATATTATAAACATCTTACCCGGAGAAAGCCAACGATTGAGAAAATGGTAAGATTGGTGTTCGATTTACACCAAACCGTTGGGGAAAAAATTAAACCCTAAGACCCAAAGCAACCTTGAATAAAATCAAGAAGCAATTCCCAAAAATTTACGGCTCATATTAGAGAATCGTACCAGGGGCGAAAAATGAAGAGATGCAGAGACAAAGCGAGAGATGCAAAGCGAGAGCGAGAGATGCAGGGCGATTGAGGACATGGAAATACCATTAATTCTATATAAATCGAGAAATCAAAAGCATTATGTTGAACACAAAACAAGAAATACAATGATACAACCCTAACCTCGATCATTGGTATGGTCGATGTTGATATATGAACCAGAAGCCATGTTGGTGGGTCGTCGGAAGCGGATGGAATCGGATGGAGAAATCGACAAAAGTGGTATTGAACCAGAAGCCATCTTGGAGACTGAATCGTGGGAAGTGAGCGTGGATTTGCTTTGGAAAGGGAAGTGAGCGTGGAGTTGCGTTGGAAAGGGAAGTGAGCGTGGAGTTGCATTGGAAAGGGAAGTGAGCGTGAGGGTGAGGGTGAGAGTGAGGGTGGAGCGTCTTTTCAAAGTGAGAAAGAGCCGGGTTATCAAAGTATGCTTTATAGAGTTGTACTAAATGCTTTAGAGGTTGTACATTTTTAAGACTTTAAGACTCAATGCATAAAAAGATAGTACCTTATGCATCAAAACTTGTTTTTAAGACTTTTACCAAATCTCATTTATAAAGTAGTATAGATAATTTATACTATATTATTAAGCAAATTTGTTAAATGTCTTAAAGTTTTAAATTCTTAAAAAAATATAAACTCTAAAACATAAAGTACTTGTTTTTAAAGCTGGTTTTTAAATCTAAAAAAATACAAACTCTAAAGCACAAAGTATTTCCCTTATTAATCAATAACCTTTACATCCTTGACACTCGCTTCCCAAGACGATGATTCCCAATACAAATTCGCTCCTATGTACAACTTATCAATGCCAAACTCATCTTCCAAAGATCTTTAGTTCACGCCCCCAACCTGTTGATCTCCTCTCCTCTTTCAAGGTGACGATTCACACTCCAACCTCTTGATTTTCTCCTCCTCGTCTCAAGTATCTAGTCATCGCTCCACTCGATCCTCCCATACATCTCTAATTTTCTCTCGGTTGAAGACTTTCAGGTAAGTTTTCTCTCTAATTTTCAATTTTCTCTCCAATTCTGTTTTAAGTTTTGGTTTTGTTTGAATTTAGGTTTTCGGTTTGAATCTGATGAGATGAATTTTGTGAAATCAGGTTTTGTTTGAATTTAGGGTTTTTGAATTTGAATTGAGTTTTAGGTTTTCGCCAAAGCATTATGCACGCCAAAGATACTTCTGGATCTTAAGTTTCACGTGATAGTGCACTGTATGTTTTGCTCTGAGGTGTGGATTGATGTAGTTGGTTATTTTGTCTGTTTTTTTATCCTTCTCAAATCAAGCATGTTGGTGTTAATTGAGTGTTCTACGGTATCCTGTAAATAACTTCTTCAAGTGTTCAATAAGTTGAATATTGCATCGGAGATTTGTTTTTTTTATGAATACTACTATTTAATTATATGGCACTCTACTTCCGATTTTTCCAACTTCTATGGTTAATCAAGTTGATGAACATAACAAGTGAAATGGTTCTCAATCACGAAAAGATAATCAATTTTCTGTGAAGTGATAAAAGAGGTTCAAGCCAGAGGAGTCATTTATAGGGTAGGTAGCAACAACATTAAATTTTCATTAAGTTAAAGAGGACCTTCTGTATCCTTGTCAGCCTACCGCATTTGTCTGTTGTATTGCAAATGATTCTGGAATCAGAAAACATTTGATTGATTTTGTACTCGGACTTGTTAGTTTTGAATCCTTTAGCATGTCAAAGTTATGTTGGGTTTTCGAATCTATGCTCGTCTTTTTTAATATATGTTATTGTTATTAATTACCAGTTATTCTTTGTTGTTACAGTTAATCCTCTTGAAAAATGGTGGACGTATGATCTTATGGCCACTGGGTTGCAATTCAAGAAGGATCATAAATACTTTGACGTATGTTGAGTTTAGAACATATAAACATTTTAGATATACATCAACCTTCTTTTGTTGTTAAGCATGATTTGCTTTTTGCCTCAAATAATGGAACTTGTGTGCTTCTTAGGAGCTGTTTACTGACACTTACCCAAGTAAGTGCTTACCGGCAAAATCAACTCTA